TTATTCTTTATGATTGAATGACAGTATATACGGTATACTTCGTATGACCTCGCTCATACAAATTTGTAAAAAGAAGGACGTAAGGAATGAGGAAGGAAGGAAAAAGAGGAGACACGTTAAAGATACATTTATTACAATGTCAAATAAATCTGTCGAAATAATGTAACAAGACAAGGTACAGCGAAGCGGCAAATTTAAAATGTGCCAATTGCAACGTTAATTGTCACTCGTAGATGTAGACAGGGTGATCAAACATCACGCACTCCCATTTGTAAATGCTGAGGGTAAATGCGAGAAGTGTAATAACATGTCGAACGTTCGAATGTCACGTATTCATTAATCATTTTTTAAACAGTGGAGCCCCTATTTAGTATTGATATGTGATAATAACAACGGACTGTATTAAACTTTTTTAGTTACCGAGTTAGCTTGATATTAAAAATTAAAGCAATGCAATCTATACATTTAATACTAAGTTCCTCAAGAGTATGAATAAATAACAAAAGTATTTTTTTCCTGTAATTATAAATAAAACATTTCAGTACAAATTTTATGAAAAAGTTAAACCTATGAAAGATTTAATTGCCGATCAACGTGAAGAAGTAAAGAGCCTACAAATTGTAATAAAAAAACGGAATAGGGAATTTTGAATACGATGTGTGCACGGCAGGAATGCGCAAATATGCAAAGGTATAAAATAGGCAGGACTCTGATATTCTCAGTGGTCATATATTAAAGTGCACATAGTAAAATAAGATGCAATAGATAGATAAACTTGGATCATAGAGTATATCAATCTACGTCTATAAATATAAACAAAACGCGCGGCGAGCGGGGGCGGAACGGAGGGGAGAGGCGGAATTCATTATCGCTCGCGACGATCCGTTATGATGGCCATAAAAAAAAGCTCGTACAAGATACCAGTGAAAGAGTTTACGCCGCCGATTGACGTTAACGGCGATGTAAATTACAATGCGAACGTGTTTGACGGCAAGAAGGAACGCGCAACGAGGAAAGGAGGAGCATGTATTAAACTCGTCCGACGAGCCTTCTTTCTAATCGAGTGTATCAAAAATAGGCGGCTCGCGCAGGATGTTCCCAACGTCGGCGGGATGTCCTAGGAAATTTCACGTTTCACGATGGATTCGATTTAACGGAAACCACGCGGGAGGCCGCGTCCCTTCGGTCCTCGCTTTTAATTTCTGGCAGAGAATAACGTCTCGGCTTAATCAGAGATTGAATTTCTAAGAAAAAAATTGTCGGTGCCATGTAATAAAAAAAAAATTTCGTTATCTAACTCTATTCTTGAAGCTCGACGTCGCCTTTAATTTTCAGCGTTAGATAACTCCGCGACGATTTGCGCCTCGCCATGTGGCTATAACTATTGCTTTTCTTAAATTAGTTCTCTACTATCTGCAGTTACACAACGTATCTCCGTGGATATACAACAGAGTTACAGAGAAAAAAACCCTTTAACATGTTTAAATAAAAAAACGTGTGCGTTTCAATTTCAAGGAAAAAAAACACTTTAATGACCATTTACACCTTTTAACACAACAGCATTGCAGTAAGAAAGAATACATTTTATCTTTTACATAAATATATTCGCAATGGCTACGTATCAGACGATTAATAACTAACCTCTTAAGCCTCAAGCTTTGTTCGCTGAGTAGATTTAAAAAAAAGCTCGCGTTGCTACCTACACTATCGCGTGTGAATTATTCTTTCCGGGAATTTCTTATTTCAGAAAATCCTAGGCTAGGAAGAAAAAGTGAAAGAAAGGAAAGAGAAAGAAGGAGAGAGGAAGAGAGAAAAAAGAGATATTCCCTACTTAAGCACTCTAAGATAGCACCCTTTCAAGCATTGAAACATTAGATAGATTGTTTTCAGCATATGTGGGATGTTTAGAAAACAATTTAATACAAAAATGATGAAAAATTAAATAAGTACAGCCTTGGCCAAAATTATTATAGGCACTTTTATAATCATTATGCTGGACTCAATCTAATACCAGAAAAAAGACTTTTATCGTTTAAAAATTGTTTGCTAAAGCGTTGGTTATTATAATATATTTATTTTTTTATTTCTTTCAAGAATAAATGTTATTTTGAAGAAACTTTATTTTAATAAAGTGCTTAATAATTTTGGCCACGACTATATATGTACAATATATTAATATGAGTGCTAATGCGCAAGATTGTGTGTGTGTGTGTTATTCATCCATATGCAACATGCAGAAAGAGAGAGAGAGAGAGAGAGAGAGAGAGAGAGAGAGAGAGAGAGAGAGCAAGAGCGTGTAATGACGTGGGCGCGAGCGGCTGGCGTCAAAGCCGAGCGTGGCGGAGTCAGGTAAAGCTCACACGGGAGAGGAAGTAACCGCGCGCGGTGTAGATACCAGAAATTATTCTTGATAAGGCCGCGGGAGAGGAGGCGCGCTGCACACGCGCGCGCACGCTATACTCTCTGGGAAACACGCGCGGCGAGAGAGTTCCGTTCGACCACCGAGGGGCACCCGATCCGGAGGCTCTCGGCCGGAGCGGCCCAGCGGCCGCGATTCCGCGATCCCGAGACTCTCGCCGAGCCAGAAAGAAAGATTGTAAACAACGGAGAGTGTACGAAAAATAAAACCAAAAACCGTGGGAGGGGAGGGAATGCCCCCGAAGGGACGGACACCTGAAGGGAAGTGCGTCGGTGACTCGCGGGTCTCGCTCGGAGGAGAGAAAGAGAGAGAGAGAGAGAGAGAGAGAGAGAGAGAGAGAGAGAGAGAGAAAGAGAGCGAGGAAGGGCGGAGGGGAGAGGAGGCGGAGGCAAGGAGAAATGGCGTAAGCGCGTAAACGTACAGCATGCGTCACGAACCCGTTACCCCGGGCACTCTTTTTTTTTCTCTCTTCCTTCTTCTCCGGCGAGAGAAAAGCGCATCCGCGTCTGGATATCAATTGATAAAAAATTTTCCGTGAGACACGCGGCGTATATGAGCTCTCTCTCTTTCTCGCTGGGCAGCGACGGCGTTCGACGTGCGTCCCTACCACGCGTGGCACGGTCGAGAGACAAATAAGAATTACGCACGAGGTAAATTAAACGAGTCGACGGTAGGGGGGGAAGTCGCTTTATCTCGTAGGAAGAATATAATGCCTACGCGCGGGGCCTGGACGCGACGCGTCCGACCACGCGGGAAGTACCTTGTTCATTTTCGGAAAGCGTCTATTCGGAGGAGTCTAACGTGTCTAACGGATAGGGGCAGTAGAGGCAACTCGGCACTCGTGTGACGTCTAAGCGCACGCATACATTCGAATCAGATCGGAGCGCTGCCATCGTGCGAGACCGATAGTGAAAAAGAGAGGCGACGTCGTCGAAACGTCGAGAGAGCGAGAGAGGAGAGTGGAAAGGAGGAGAGAGTGGAGCGAGAGAGAAAGACAGACATACGTATTTAAAAAGAGAGCGAAGGGGACGGGCGAGGAGGGAGGAGCGGAGAGACGGGGAAGGGGAGGCGAAGGAGAGGTTAAGAAAGAAAGAATGAGAAGCCTGGCCGCGCACACGCATGCACGGAGCACCGAGGGAGGACCGCCGTCCGTCGCGGTGTTGGCAGACGGAAGGATGGCATGGCTACCATCCTTGAATACGCACTTAGCCGCGAATTGCGCCGTTCCTTTGTCCGTCTCTCTCTCTCTCTCTCTCCGCTCGCGGAACGCGCGCCACAGGCCACTTAACACGTCGGCGGGTCCTACCGCGTCGTTCCGCCGCCGTTCCGCCGCGGCGTGGCGCGGCGCGGCTGCGGCTCTGCCGCTTTGCTCCCGGGCTCTGCTCTCTCGCGCGAGCGGAGATAATTGCGCACACGTAACTCGCGCGAGGGGGGAAAACGGGGCTCTCTCGCGAGAGCTCCGCTCGGGAATAATACGCGGGGGAGGCGAAGGAGGAGGAGAAGTAGTCGTCCGTCTCTCACGGCTATCCCGACCCGAAAATAGTCCCGCGGCGCGGGCGAGTTACGGGGTAGTGGCCGCGCGCCGCGGGGTAGAGAGAGAGAGCGCGAGCGAGCGCGCACGGGATTGCGACACTTATGACTTACCGAAGGCTGTTGCGGTGCAGCAGGGCGCAATATGTCAGCTGACTTGACGCGCGACCGATCCCAATTCTGCGTCACTATTCCACATAATTCTCAGCGGGACATTCGGCCACTCGCGCTCGCAAAATGTAATCCCCGGACCCCGCGTATATACGCGGAACCGCTGCCCGCCTCGCGTTTCACACTGTTTCACAATACCCGCGATACGAGAGGAGGTGGAGAAGAGGGAGAAAGAGAGACAGAGGTAGAGAGAGAATCTCCGAGGGGATTGGGGAATTAAAACGAGCTAGAGGACGGAGAGAGACGGGGGGCGGGGGCGACGGAGAGGATAAAAGTAAGAGGACGACGCTGACGACGGCGACGTCGGCGACCGATCCTTCCCGGAGACGAGAGAATACTCTCTTCACACCCAACTCTCTTCGTCCACGACTACGAAGTAGACCACCACCACAGCTGCAGGCGCGAGAACGAATACTGCTGATGTGACTGACGTAAAGTTAGATCTCTTTCGCTCTCCCCCTCCCCATCCCTCATACTCCGTCCGATCCGAGCATAGAGCATAGCACTCGGGGGCCGTACGCGGGCGAATGACCACGAATCCGCCCGAGAGCCGACCGCGGACCACGGGACTACGTAGACGGGCGACTCGAGGTGACCTCCGCGTTCGCGGCGATTGGTCGGCGGCTGGGGAGTAATTGGGCGCGTTCAGCAGACACAACTGTTGAGTCTCGTCTTATCAACAAACTGCGTTGATTGGTTGGTTCTAAAAGTAAGAGCCAATCACGTTCGATTGCTACTGAGCGGTTTGTTCTGCTGAACGCGCCCATTGAAAATTGTTGGACCGTCCTCCGTCCGACGGCCAATCAGCGCGGCTCGATGAAGCTCGCCGCCGCGCGCAACAGCGGACAGCGGACCGTGTTCGATCCTGAAGTTGGCAACCGCGTGACTCCCGGCACAGCCGCTCATCCGGCTTTATTTCATCGCGATCGTTCATTCAAATGTGGTTGAATGTGGTGAAGAAAGAGGTGGAGAGTTAGGAGTCCGCTGGGTAGAAAAAGAGGAGAAACTGCAACGACTCTCGTCGCCGTTTCTGCCGATTTTCGCCCGACTGCTCGCGCGTTTTCCGTATGTACGCACGTGCGACATCGATTCCTCGCGGGTCACCGATGGAGAAGCGTCCTCCGTTTCTGCGTGCCGCCGATTGATCGTCGAACTCCCAGGTTGTCGTCGGCGTCCGCGCCGCGCGATGTTGCGCGCGGCAGGTTAACCGTAAACGGCGCACGTTCGGTTCGTCGAATTACGGCGATCGGCATCGGACAGTCAACACGCGACAGTTTGCACGATCGGAACGAGGATGAACACGCCGCAGTCGAACAAGAAGAATAAGAAGATCGGGAGGAACAGAATAGGGGTACTCAACGAGACCGCGAGTCCCACGAGCACGGAGACGCTCAGCAGCCAAGAGGCGGCGAAGTTTGTTTTGGTATGGGATAAGAGCATTTGATCAATTTGTTTTTTAGGCCTCACAAGGATCGTGTACAATTTTCTCTTCGCTGTAACAAAAATTGAAAGTGTTGCTTTAATACCCGAAGGTATTAGGTTTTAGGTTTCGAGTTGAATGCGGATAATTATTCCAAGGATTTTTTAGTGAATAAAACTTCAGAAGTGCAAGCTGGATGGAGTAAATCGATCAGTTTCAATTATTGTTTAGTTTACTATTTTAATTGTAAAAACATATGTATAGGGTTGGCCAATAAGTCTGTGCAGTTTTTTACTTATAAATTTTACTTTTAAAAAACCGCATGGACTTATTGGCCAACCCAATATATTCTATTCTGTTATTTTTTTTTTTTACAGCGGTGAAAGGGCATAAGTCACTGAATATTATATTTCTGTGTACTTTTAACATATTTTTAACAACACTGGTCAACAATTTTGACATACAAACTTGTATCCTATTTTATTTTTGAATTTTTCCGTGTTATTTACATGTAAATCAGACCAAATATAACTACGAAAAACATTATTTAGCTTTAGTTTAAGAAGCATAGATTATCTATACATAATAATAAAATTTATATTTAAGAAATTAAAGGCGAATTAAATTATTTTCTGAGAGTTCTTTTGTATCTTTCTTCTCCTTATTTATTAACTAAAATATAATTTGTTTCTTGAACAGATCTTGTCAGTCTAAGTTGTTTCAAAACTTAACTTGAGTGTTTTCACTTGGTTTGTCGCTTGTAGGCTACTTCTGAAGTACCCTTGGCTACAATTGAATATAGTCTGCTAATAGTAAAACTTTCTCTGTTATTTCTTTCCCATTGCCGATATATCTTGGTGAAAACACCCACGATACTTATTACTTATATCTTATTTCTCATATTGTGCACCCATATTATTGATACTTACAATTAGTGAAAATTGGAGGTAAGATTCAATTTTTATTGACATATTTGTTATTAACATCACAAAATTAACCCGTTGAGGTTCCACCTCCTAAAAGTAACGTAGAGGTCACATGGGGTCCAATGGACCCCACAACAGTTTCCATTCGCATTCTTTTTGATGTATCGACTCAAACCTTGAACTGGAATTAATTTATGACTTCCTCTTGATAATCCAATAATTTAAAAAATTTTTTATGTTGAAAAAACGCGAGGAAAAAATTTTTTTCGAGAAATTTTTCACAACTTTTTTCACAAAAATATTCATCAAAATTTTTTGAGATAGAGCAAAAAAACTGTGCGTTTTACTCTCAAAATAGTATACTTTTAAGAAAAAAAAAAAAAAGCCTATGGTACACTGGACCCCATGGAACCTCAACGGGTTAATAAGAATTGACTGCTTTGGTACAGGATACATTTTCATTGTTGACCGGTGCAATCTAAACAATACGACTATATTTATGGAATCAGCTGTGTTGATAATATAACATCTATCTCGATATTTAAAGGTAAACCCTATAGGAGAAGATGGAAATAAATCAATCAAGTTGGCTATCTCAGATGGAATTCCTATAATTTCCATGGATGCAAGTATGTCGGATGAAAAGTTGCAAAAAAATAACACAGCGTCACTGGAAAAGGAGAAGGAAGACAAGAACATTCTTAACTCTTTACCTATTGCCACAGTTAAGGAAATAGAAGGCTACGAGAATCAATTAGGAGAAGCTGAGCCACTTCCAAATTCTTATATTAGATTTATGGAGCGCAGTGGCGAAGAACTTGATGGTAAAGCACATTTGCTGATTTGTATAATGTTAAAATAGTGTCACAATATTAAAATATTGCTTAATTATCATAATGTATTGCATCGCTTTCCAACATTATTAATTACTAAATATGTCTTTAATAGTCATATCTTACATATATATTAAGTTGTAAATGTTATGTTAAACTCTTACGTTAATATGAACATTTTTTTTTATATATTGTTTATATATTGTTATTATATCATCTAAAAAAACATTTTAAATGTCATTTTAAGGAGAAGTAGAATATGACCTAGATGAGGAAGACACCGCATGGCTTTCTATTGTGAACGAAAGAAGATTGGCGTCTGGATTAACGCCTGCGTTAGAACCTGATACATTTGAGCTGTTGATGGACAGACTAGAGAAAGAGTCGTATTTTCAACAACAAAGTAACGGCGGCAGTGGCGTTGCTGCAGACGAAGACGCAGTCTGTTGCATTTGCATGGACGGAGAATGTCAGAATAGTAATGCAATCCTGTTCTGTGATATGTGTAATCTTGCTGTTCATCAAGATTGTTACGGTGTGCCGTACATACCTGAGGGCCAATGGTTGTGTAGAAGGTGTCTACAGAGTCCATCCAGGGCTGTAGATTGTGTCCTTTGTCCGAACAGAGGCGGCGCTTTCAAACAGACTGATCGTCCTGCGACGTGGGCTCACGTAGTATGCGCTCTATGGATACCAGAAGTAAGATTCGCTAACACAGTGTTTTTGGAGCCCATCGACAGTGTAGAGAGTATACCGCAAGCTCGTTGGAAGCTCACGTGTTCTGTATGTAAGCGCAAAGGTGCCGGCGCATGCATTCAGTGTCACAAGAGCAATTGTTACTCAGCATTCCATGTAACTTGTGCTCAACAAGCTGGCCTATGCATGCGTATGAGAACAGTACAACCTGCTAACGGTGAACCGATGCTGGTGCAAAAGACAGCTTATTGCGAAACTCATACACCCGTCGATTATCAGCCTTCCACGAATCCCGTGGATGCGCGAAGGAGAGCAATAGCCAACAAGAAAAGTTCATCAGCACCTGTTATTTCTATTCCCACCATTCCACCTGAAAGGATCAGAGAAATTGCCAAGTAATAAAATTAATTATTTTTATTTACACAGTTTGAACACATTTTGCATAATAAAACAATATTTTAATGGTTAAATTTATATATGTTGTCTTATTTTAATTAGTTTGGCGGAAGGAATACCAAAAAGAAGTCAATTGATACAACGTCTCATTGCTTATTGGACACTGAAGCGGCAATACAGAAATGGTGTTCCACTTCTTAGAAGATTGCAAAGTTCCCATCCACAATCTAGACCACCTCCGCTCGGAGAACATCCCTCTTCGCCGACGCATGATAGTGAATTGCGAGAAGAATTATATCGTCAGCTTAAATATTGGCAATGTTTACGTCAAGATTTGGAACGTGCGCGATTACTATGTGAATTAGTACGGAAGCGCGAAAAATTAAAAAAAGAACTGTTCAAAGTGTTAGTATACTTGCGACAGATTTTGAATGATATTGATATATTTATTAATATAATCGGCATTAATATATTTTAAAAATATTAACTAATAAAATAGAATAATAGGAAAAGCATCTGTGTAGATGCTTAAAAAAATTTTTGAATTAAATCTTTAAATTTTTTAGAATTTTACAATGCCAATTTATAATAAAATACATATTTCCGAAAAATATTAACTTTGAGAAAAATTGATTACAGGAAAGAAAAGTGTTTATGGCTCAAATTGCGGCCATTGGACAGTGTTTTACGTACATTGTTAGAAGCTATGAAAGCGAAAGATGTAAATGATGTGTTTGGACAACCAGTCAATACCAAAGAAGTTCCGGATTATCTCGATATAGTGTCAAAACCCATGGATCTCTCTACTATGCAGGTAATTATAATTATTTTACATTGTGTTTATCCATATACTTATTAATTATATATTATTATACTTATTAAAGTATATTTTTTAATCACCTGATCGAAATATAATCTATAATTATTTGTTACATTTTTTATTACAGGCAAAATTAGAAAAGCAAGATTATGATTCCATCGCGGCGTTTGAAGCTGATTTCAATTTAATGGTGACGAACTGCCTGGAATATAATCGGAAAGATACCATGTTTTATCGAGCAGGAATGAAAATGAAGGAACAAGGTGGAATCTTGATAGAACAGATTCGCAAAGATTATCCTGAGCTCGATCCGGCCTCTGAATCGGAACAAGTCGGTTCTAAATCTAGAAAAAGAGAAAGATCGAATCGTAATCGCGTGGAAACGGAATCGCAGTCCAGTGAGAAGGAGATTGGTGGAGGTGTAAACAGAAGAACAGCGGTGTTGTTCACTCGCAAAGCTAGAGCGCGTAATGCTAAAAGCGGCCAAATGTTTCTTACGGAGGATGATAAAAAGAAGCAAAGTGATAGTTTTAAAATATATAGGTAATCACGGCAATACAATGTAATCACGGTAGCTTCACACAATATATATAACTATATAAATGTTTATAACAAAATATACCTATGTATGTATAAAATATCTATAATGTAATTAAACGAAGCAAGAATACACATTATTTTCTGAATGATGCTTTTCTGGCTTATAATATACTAACAATATTCAAAATTTGCTCAAATTGCTACAAAAATTTGCTCAAATATTTGCACAAAAAGTCGCATACACAATTAATATTTCTAGGAGTGGAGCAACGGATAGCGATATGGGTGAGGGAGAGAGCCAATCATCAAGCTGTAGTAGTTGCCCCACGAGTAGATCTACTACTCCTGGTCCAGAAGAGGAGAAGCAACGACAAGAGATTGCTGATACAAAAAAAGAAAACGAAACTAAACAAACGAGCACTGGTAGCGGGTTAGAAGCTTTGCAGCTCGTATGGGCTAAATGTCGTGGATATCCTTGGTATCCGGCTCTGATCATTGATCCTAGTACACCTCGGGGCACTATACATAAAGGGGTTCCAATACCAGCACCGCCTGATGATGTTCTGGCACTTGCAGACAATTACAAGGAGCCAGTTTTCCTTGTACTTTTCTTTGACACAAAGCGTACATGGTAATGATCCTTAGTTAACGTAGGAACGCATGTTTTTGATCATAGATTTAGTGCACATTTCTTAATGAGTTAAAAAATGAATAATAAATTTAACTGCATCCGATTAACAAAAATTTGTCAAAAATTTTTTAAACTGATAACAACTTTTGATAGAAGAATAATTTCAGGTTTTAATAAGAAGTACCATTCTATTATATACATACAAATGTTTTATATGTATTTACATCATACATCAGTTTAGTACATAAAACATATGATACGATAAAATTATAAAATGCATGGAGAGATAATCTCGAAGCAGGAAAATACAAATTCTACAACTTTGCAAAAAAATTAATTTTTTTTAATCATACAAAAGCAAACACATAATTTATTGAACAGTAAAAATATTAAATTTAATAATATTTTTTAGGCAATGGCTGCCAGGCGAGAAATTAGAAAAACTTGGAGTATCGCAGGAAGTTGACGAAGCGAAATTGATCGAATCGCGTAAACCTACGGATAGAAAAGCCGTAAAGAAAGCTTATCAAGATGCTTTACATTACCGCAAACAAACACATAACGCGGTATTAGACAATACATCCACTGGATAAATGTTGTAAATATAATATATATATAGAATATGATAAAATATGTAAGTAATCTGAAAGAACTTCTTAGTTAAATAACACAAGGCTGCAAATTTTGACTTTTTCTCTGCGTTCTGGAAAAGAACGGTGGTTTCTTATATAGTTTTTTGTGGGCTGAATTTGAATCCGTAAGCAAAAATGTCCTATCACGTCAAGTTAGCGAGAAAAATGAAGTTAACTCCCCACCTCTAAAAAAAAGGTGATTTTGACCATTTTTGAAGATTTGTAACTAGCGAACCCGATATGTGAAAGACTTTTTAAATGTCTTAAATTAAAGTTTGAACATTGTAGTTTAATATGAGAATGTCAAATCTTTTAACACAGGCACCATCAAACCTCAGGCGCATTTTGTAAAGATACGCTTCGAGCGCACGCGTACGTGCCTGCTTTTGATGAGCGTATCCCCATCTTTCAGGTGGGCCGGTTTTTCATTCTAGTATCTGACGAGGATTTTTTGGAGGTTTAATTGATTTTTTGCGTATATAACTGGGGACGAAAGGATCTATGAGCGTATGACGTTTCTTTTATATTTTCCAACAGAAGCAATCATTGTTTACACAAATGAAATAAATATCTTTTTACAAAGTATGATGTTTTATTTCCATGTATTAAATTCTATTGAAAATTTTACTTTTTACAATGGTTTTGCAGAGGTGTGGAATAAACCGTACACCAACCTTTAAAAATAAAGCACCTAAGGTTTGAGTGTGTCTAAAAAATTTGATATTCTCGTATTAAAGTACAATGTTTAAGTTTTAATTTAAGACATATTAAAAGTCTTTTTGCACATTGAGTTTGTCAGCTAACGAATCTTGAAAAATGATGTAAAACGCGTTTTTAAGAGACTTTAACTCTATTTTTCTCGCAATACTGACGTGATATGACACTTTTGCTTACGGATTCGGATTCAGCGCACATAAAACTATAAGAAATCACCGTTCGCAAAATCACGCAGACTTGTGTAATTTATGAATTAGGTAATATATTATATTAAAATATATTATATCTTATATATATAGATAATATTTAATATACAGGATAATAATATATAAGAAAATAATGATACAACTGTGTAATTGATACAGTAATCTTTCTTGTAAAATATATATACAGAATATTGCAAATCTAATTGATTTGATAATTGATTTGAATACTGAGTCCACATAATAATAGTACCAATATTTCTGAGAAATTATATTTATATGAATATTTCTATCAATTATTGTTTTAAAATTTCGTTACTGTATAAAATCAAAAAACAATTGTATATATAATTGGTACTTTTTATATAATTTTTAATCTTTTATTTTATTTGAAATTCATACTAAATTAATGCTATATTTTCTTAATAACCAATATTTGACATTTTTACAAAAAAAAAAAAACTGCAAAATGTATTTCAACATTGTACGATATAAAAAGTTTTAATTTGTAGAGATATTAATGTAAATCATTATATTAATTTACCAAAGCAGAGAAGGCTCGTCTGAGGGTAGATTTTAAATATCAATATTGTATAAAATGCTATTACATAATTTATTAAAGTTTTTAGACCGATCTAAATTTTATACAAAATTTGCAGGTTTGATAATTTATATAAAATTGGCAAATCTTACTACATTTTACAACAAAGTGAAATAGTGAAATTGTAATTTTCTTTTGATGCAATTTATGTTTATATGAATTTTGTTGTAACAGATGCGTGGAACAAATAAATCATTTATGTTATGGAAAAATATAAAGTTTTTTTATAAACCTCAGAAAACTCAATGCGTCAATAGATATATTTTAAATCTCAGATAGGTACTGTATCCGGAGTGCAAAGTGTATTATAGAATTAAATTTTATTCTTGAAAATATAAATATTGATTACACATTTAATAACGATATACGTATATGATATACAAATACATTTGATTATCAAAATTTTTAAAACTTAAGCTTATTATATATAATTTTAATTATATAACTTTTTAATTATAAACTTCGTAAAATTTGCATTGGTAAAATTGTTTTTTTTTTTTAATCTTGTTTACCATCCCGCTTTGAAACATATTCAGCAAGTTCTTTAGCATACATGTCGAGTCTTTGGGTCATCTGAAAAAATTCATAAGACAGAATAAATATAGTAGAATTTACATATTTCTTAAATGTATTTATATCATAGTTTTGGAGGTAATGGAGAATTTGTGAAATATATTCGATAAGGTATACTTATTATCGATTATATTTCAATAAAAGGCATTCAAATTTCTTTTTTCATTTCAGATAATTCACATTTTCAAACAAATGTACAAATTTTTATTATGTGAACTAATTCTCTCCTCCCTCTCTCCGTTCATTAAATATCTACGATATTTATTAAATGCTTTCTTGAATCACAAGTTAATGTGATAACAAACTTAGTGCTACTAAAATTTTATATATTCTATGTACGATGAATAATCAGAAAATGTGAAATACTTACTCTAAATACCCACGTATCTTTCATGTGTCGACACATGTTGAGGTCCAATTCTCCAACGAGCAGTCCATCTTTGTGCCGACTTAGACCTGGAGTTCGCGAGCCATCGGGGGCGGTAATATAACTAGAGCCATAAAAGTGTCCAAAATCGTTATGCGCTGGTTTTCCATCGCCAGAGGTAAATTCATTTGCGAAACGCTCGGTTCCTACGCGATTGATAGCGCACGTGTAATAACTATTCGCTATCGCGGCGCACCTTGCTTCGATTGGCCATAAATGTTCCGATAATTTGTCAATAGTTGCGTTTGGATTAAAAACGATCTGAAAAAATGTAAAGGAGATTATATGATTGAGAAACTTCGGATAAGATATTAATTAAATTGTGAAATATTAGGAAAGATGTGAAAGAAAGAATTCTTCCGCAAAAGAAAATTGACTTCAAATTTTATGAGAGATAGACGTTGCACGTCGAATTTGTGGCCGTACATGTAGAAACGTCTATGATCTCACCTCCGCCCCATTCAACCCAAACATCAACCAGTTCAATGGATGGTGGCGCCCGTAACATATGTTAATCGCAATGCGCCCAAAGCAGGTGTCAAATACTGGGTGGCCTGTGTTGCCCTCCATGTAGTAGGTGGATTCGTTAAAATCTCCATTACGGGGAATATGATTCTTCCTATGTTTACCAAGGACTGTACCATCGGTGTTGATCACCACGCAGGTGTTCCAGATGGTATCGCCGTCAGTAGAATCTCTCTCCAAAATCGGCGATATTATTACCATGTTGTATTCCTTAGCGAAATTAGACAAAAACTGGGTCGTGACCCCAGTCTCGGCATCCTCAGCAAACTCACACCACGGATACTTTTCCCTCGTGCAAAAAGCGAACGGCATAGCTGCGATGATCGCACAGATTGATTATTACGCAAATTTACATGTAACAAAACTATTATAATACTATATATGTATACACACAACTATGTATATCATATATAATGAATCTCACGTACTCCATGCTTCTTGGAAACATAAAATGTTAACTTGACGTTGAGCTGCTTGCACAATATATGTTCCAATTTTCTTATGTATTTCATCTCGTTGAACTTGAACTGTTTCCCATGTTGCTGCTTTTATGCAGTGTTGTATCAGTCCAACGCGAACTAGACGTGGGGGACGAAGCTGTTCTTTGATCTTACTAACCATCTGCCATCCTCTTACTTGAAAATGCTCATCTTCCCAATTTATATCTAATGGTCTAAGAATAATATATATAAATGTCTCACTTGTACTTGTAGGATTAATTGATAGAATTTATGTTGTGCATATAGATCTAACTCTGTTTTTCAAAACTATATATTTATATATCTTATTAAGAACTTTGCATTATATAGTTTTTGTATTTAAGTACATATTCCATACACGCAATGTATAATTATTCATTGAACAAATTACGACAATTAGATACAAGTTATTGAGCTGCTATCAATATTGCAATCAAAACAGATATAAAATGAAAACTGTAAAACGGAAATATATGCCTTTATTTCTGCTCATAAAGTTTAATGTGACCAAGTGAAGTATTCTTATATAAATTACATATACATAGAAAGAAAATTTATTGTATAAATATATTTTGTGATACATAAATTCTTACTTAGATGAGTTTCCATATAAAATATGTTTAACTTTAGCCAATTTCTCCTTTGGTATATATTTTTCTAAAATTTCTTCCACAGTTTCCTGAGTTTCCTCCATGATTGCTATCTGTTGCCTTGCTTCTCGACTGAATAATCTTGAAGCTCGAAGTTCAACAAATGTGATAGCACCTCTCCCCACTGTCAAAATGCAAAGCAACAGCAAACATGAGATTAGACAACACAGGAGAAAAAGATAGATATAGACATATGAGAAGTCCTAACACCATTACGTGATATTTATGTTCATTTTAGATATTATCACGTCATAACACATAACATGACATTAATATATGTTATAAGCACGTATTATATTATTGTTGTATTATGTTAATAGCAAAGCAAAGTCGTTTTATTCAAATTTGTTTTACTCATTATATTAAATGTAAATATGTACAAATATATGTATATAATTAATATAGATGCATATTGCATTAGAAAATATTCATAATTACAGTCTACAGACACAATTTTATTACCTATATATAATGGAAAGATATATTTTTTTCCTGTAGAATCAGAATTATATCAATCTAAATTAAATAGAAACTTGTCATGCATTGCAGATTGTTAACTTCATAGTACTAAGGCAATACGTTTATTATGTACAGTTGTAATTTGTTACAATGTAAAGCTACAATTTTTGATTGTGCGGAATTGAGCATCAATTGAGGAACAATTTATCGCATAATAGCGTAAAATACATACGTAATTTTTATAAAGCACAATCGTGGCGCACGATTATCTTATCTGTACGGCCGTGTCAACCAGTCAAACTGAGTCAAACCAGTGCAAACACATCAAATCACATAACGTGACGGAAAAATACAATCGAGAATCTCAAAATTTACATTTGCCATCATAAGATGGCAGAAATATCGGATCCATTTGACAGCTGACCACGGTATACCATATTACGATAATGCAGTTTGGCTTCCACATGTTTGTATTGTTTGTAAGCAAGTTGATAGCTGCGTCAAGTAACAGGCAAATTCTAGGAGCAAATTATTCGTGAACACTTTAAAGCGTGATAAAACAATATTTACGTTGTCTGTGAGCTTGGCGTGATAAAGACTCGGAAGTAGAACGGAATATTCCAAGACTGAAGGTTCTAATCTAAATATAACCTTACTTAGCGGAGTATTAAGAATGATTTGTCATCAATAAAACTGTGTTCTAATAATTTTGCATTTTGCTCTGTTCTCCCAGATAAGACGTAATTAGATAACGTATCAGTTGTATTGAAAGTTGCTAGTCCAGAAAGTTTCCCAACGATGGCTGCGACGAGAGAAAAGCGTGCGAATGCTGGCAATAAAATGGCAAGATTGTTGAACGAGGAGGAGGAAGATGATTTCTATAAAACTACATACGGTGGCTTCGATGAAGTGGAACAGGATCACGATTACATGTTTGTGGCCTCCATAGTGCTACCATAATGAAAACTCGCAAGGTATATAAATGTCTGAATTTTAGGGAAGAAGATGAAGCGGAGGACGAAGTGGATTCGGACTTTAGCATTGATGAGAATGATGAGCCGGTATCCGATACCGAGCAAGAGGGGCCGAAAAAGAAACGCAGATTAGTGACGAAAGCGTATAAGGAGCCTAAACCTGCTGCGCAATCAACGCCCAGAGAAAGGAAGATAAAACAATCGAAACCAGATAAGATTTTCATAGACGGCATAGGTAACGCGAATACTTCAGCATGAATTACATGTTTCCTTCCAAAATGTTTGGCCGTAACGATTTTGTGCAGAGAGAAAATCAATACGCCGCTCTACCGCCGCAAAGTCGGCAGCTACGCAGAAACGCTTGCGTGAGAGAAACGAGGATCAGAGGCGGAAGATAAAAGTTGTAAAGCATGATATATGGAAACCCACTCAGGAGGAATTACTAGAAGAAGCGTTGCAAACAGAGGAACTTAATGTGAAATCGTTGGGTATGTATATAAAATGAGTTTATATCTAACAAGATTTTTTATTCAGGCACTTTTGGTTTCTCTGACTTAAGAATGGAAAATACAAATTAAATGGGAAAACTAAAAATGAGTTTAAAACAATGTATCAAAATCATATTCCTTCCTAAAGAATAAAAAAATTTCAAAAATGTTAATAATGTACCTTTAAAACATAGCTACGATTTTTTTTACATTTGCAGAAAAATATCAGAAACTAGAAAATGAAAAAAAGACCACGAGAACTGTGAGAAAGACACATACTGGACCGATGATTAGGTATCAATCAGTGTCGATGCCAGTCATGGTATTATCTGAGACACGCGTGGATGAAGATGAAAAAATCAATGTTGAATGTGATGATGAGAAAACAGGAAATTCTAATAACCCAGGTTCTGACAGCTCTCCAAAAGAAGGAAGGTATATATTTTATTTTTATTTTTTCTAATTAAAACAATGTTTTTGTCAATGTTAAAATATAACAGGATATAAAGAAGAGAAAACCTCTAAAATAAATGTTTAAAATATACTGGATTTAATATTTTTTAACCCTATTTATTTAATATATTTCAGCGAAACAGAGTCAAAAACAGATGGGAAAGACGATAACAGGGAAGAATCTGCGGATACAGCTGTCTCTGCGCCCACTAAAGAAAAAGATATTCATGCCGAAGAAACCGGGACATTTTATGAACGGACGTTTATTACTTTTGAAAACGAACAATCGTACCTAGACGTATTTAAGAAATCGACACAACAAAGGCCGCCGTTGAAGCCTCTATGTGCAATCACACGGTAAAAAAATATTATTTAAAGTTATTGTTAAAGTTGCCTATCTGCATTTTGCTATTTGTGAACAAATGATATAATCTAGCATTAAAAAAAAATTAAATTTGGATTGTTTTGTTAGATTGCCTGCTAAGTATCTGGATCCTATGACACAACTACCGTATAAAAATGTACAGACCTTTCGATTGCTTCGAGAAGCTTATTATCAGCAGTTAGAAGGTCGGACTGATCTTAACGATGCCTCTCAAAGTCCAGAATTATCGCGATGGCTTGAATGGCGACAGAAAAATCATAGTAATTCTCAGAGAAATACTATTCGTCTGGAGTCAGCATCTTTACCTGTATCTTCATAATCTTCTTTTCCTACTTGTAAGTAGGAATTTAGGATTAAAAATAGCCTGTTTTTTTGTTATTCCCACGACCTACTATAAATTAAATTTTTACTATGTATTTATAATAAAGCGCAATATAATTATCTTCTAGACATTTTATAAAGATAATTTCATGCACGGTATCCTTGTAATACTAATTGTAATATATAAATTATGGCGCTATAATTTATAACAAGCTTTAAACAAGTTATAAATTATAACAATAAATATTTTGTATATATATAGAAATATCTCTCATATATTATAGTTTTATAATTGAGAACATTTTATGCACTATGATTAAATAATTTCAGCGATTATTAGTACTATACAATGTTATATATTGCACAAAACAATCATATTTATAAAACATGTTTGTTTCAATTAGTTCTTTTTTACATCCGGTAACAGATTGTATTCCATAAGGAGCTAGTAATTAATTCTATCATGTAAATGTGTTGTCACAGCGTAAAAATAGGGAGGCATATCACTTACAAGCACTTGTGGATACATTCATTATAATCATTCGTCTTAAAAGCAAGTTTGGTATTTTATTAATAAAATAACGAAATACAAGACATTATTAATAATCTATATCGTTATAGATATAATATCCTTTTTGTATTCAACTGAGGATGAAACAATCTTATATCTTAAATCATATTTTTCAGCTGTGTATATATATAAAATTTATTCTACTTAGTTTAAAGGAAATTATAATTTGCCTTTCCTAAGTTTTGTAGCTTGTGATCTAAGGATACATAATAAATCAAAAATATCTGTAGAAAACTATGGTCACTTCGACATTGCTTATACACATTAGTTCTGAGTTTCGTGTATCCGTGTATCTGTGTCTGTGTGGGTGTGTGTATGTATGTATGTAAGTCCATAACAAAGTAATAAGCCTGCTATATCAAATGGTAATTATACTTGTAATCTTACCATTTTTAAGATTGCTTCGAGAAACAACGCATTATTTCTCATTCTTACAATGGATATATATATATACAGTGGATATATATATATATATATATATATATATCGCGATAATATAAATTATGCGTACTCTATATAAATCAGGTTAAACGCACGCACGATGCACTATAATTATCTTTCATTAATTATCTTGCTTTTTTTTAAATAATCTTCCTAAAGATTATTATAAGTGATAAATTTCAAACCGTTGATTTTTCATGTAATTCGTCGAGAAATAGACACTCCGATTTGTCAACACCTTACTCACTCTCTATTTTATTTAGGATACAATAAAAGCTCGTGAGACGATAACGTATCATACATATTACAGCCACACAGAAAGCAACATCTCTTGGAGTTTTGAAAAACGCCTACTATACAGCTTTGTTCGTAATTGTTCTTATATAATTTTATCCGGTAAGAAGTTTGGAAAGATTCATGTAAAAATAAAGTAATCCCGAAGCATGTAGTGCCCAAGCTTGTATAGACTAGTACTATTATTTACGAAGAGCCGAGAGTGAGCAACGAGAAAGGACTATCTCAAGTTAGCTGTTTCCACCGCTTTTTCATCATTCGCCATGTAAGCCCATTAGCTATATATTTGTTTTCTTCTATGCAGTGCATGATAGTACTTATTCACGATACTTCATTGCATATACGATCGTAAACTGTTCACATACTCACGATCACGCTACGCGTTAAGAAGAGTCGTATATGTATGTATTACAAAGAAGCAGTAATATAACATTTATTTATATTATAACATAATTTATATCGTGACAGATAGAGAGACAAACAGAGAGAGTAAAGATGATCTTTTTTTTCGCGAAATGGTGCACATATATGCGCGCTTACAGCATCATACAATCTTTTTTTTTTGTCCTTATCCTTACTTGATTATTTCTACGAACATGTAATGCATACTCGTATATGGATTGATGGATGTCCTCTCTCGCATTGGTAAGGATAAAATCTCCTTTAACATATGAGATTACATGCTTGCGCACATAGTCTTAACTCTCGTTCTGTTATGCACCTGTTATATCTACCGCCAACTAGTACTCCCACTTTTTTCCCCTCCGTATGACTGCTTCTGTAAAATAAAATTATAGTCTTTATGGCTACAAGCAATAAATATTTGAAAGTGCACTTAGTAAATAACCATTAATTGTTTCGTGATTGATTTATTATACATTTGGTTTTAATAAATATTAAATAAACGATATTATATAAATAGAATTATGAAATGAACCTAAGAGAAATATATGTATATATATTCTGAGATATACAAAACTATTACTCGAATATAGACTCGAATTACTAGCATATCTTTTTCATATTTATAATATATTTCATATATCTCTTCTCAAACATTTTAGATATGTGAGTGTCTGTGTTGTATCTATTGAAGTATAAGAAATAATTCACTTAATAAAAATAATACTATGCATGTATTATAAGATTATAAATTTTCAAAAAGT